CGATACACCTATTATGGAAAAAAAAAAAAAAAAAAAAAAAAAAAAAAAAAAAAAATATATATATATATATATATATATATATACATGTATATAATATATACATATATATATATATATATATATATATATATATATATATATATATCTATATCTATATATATATATATATATATAATCGTTATCACTGTGTAGCAATTAACGGATATTGTGTTATCATTGGCTTAAAGTTTCTCTTTACTTTCCATAATTTTGATAGACTTCATATTTTCTTGCTATAGACAGTGAAACGAATTACACATACTACACACAGTCATACATATGCGCGCACACATGTATGCACTATAGTGTATATTCAAATACTCATGAAAACTACGTAAAAAGTGGTGTTTGGGGCAACGACCCTGAATCCAACGGAAGCTGCATAAAAAACAGAAATGTGGAGCTGCTTCCCCCATAAACACTCGTCTCGCTCCGTGAACTCAGGGATTGCAGTTAACACAAGGCCACTAACAGTCTTTGATCACTTAAGGTCTTTCTCTTGGTCGCTGCGTAACGCCTTCAGGAAGAAAGGCACCGTGCGTGGGTGTTTGGGGGAAGTGATAATAGTGAAAAATCGTCTGGGCGAGACTAAGGAATCGGTTTCTGCAATGTTCGTTTAATCTTATCTTTCCTCGAAGCCTAATGCAAGTCAAACCGGGTTCTGTTTAGTGCGATCAAGTAAAAAGAGAAAAAAAATGCATTCAAAACAGAATTAACTCTGGCTTTATGAAATTATGCGATAGGCCTACCTGCACGTAAACTGACAAATAAATTAATTAAATGAATAGATAGGGTATTTATAAACCTCTATCTACATACACATATACATTTCCTACAACTACTATCCACCAATACTCACTCCTGCCATTTAACAAGACCCTCGACATAAAGAGGATCCGTATACATTTCCGAATCGTCGAATGTAGCCATTCTGACAACGTCCTGCCTCGCCGGCGTCTTACTGAACTCTGAGCTAGTTAAAAAACTAAAGTATTATTTATACTAATGGCGATTTTTTTAAAAATTGTAGTCTAAATCTTCTGGTTGATTCTGTTTTTTTTTTTTTTATATCCCCTTTCGTGTTGTATATACTTGTCCTATTTATGCGAGTCTAATGTGAAAATGTGAGATACGAGCGCATTTTTTTTTGTCGACTGTGGACTTTCGATTCTGTAAGAGACAACTGCTGATGGCAACCGCTCTGTTATAAATGAGATTTTTGGGCTGTTGTTGGACTGCCAATCTTAATCCGATTAATTTCTTTTCTATTCTATTTGGTTCCCACTATGTAGATGTATTATGCATGTACAGTACGTATGCATACATGCATATCAATAATATAAATAATCACATACTATATATATATATATATATATATATATATATATATATATATATATATATATATATATAATGTGTGTGTGTGTGTGTGTGTGTGTGTGTGTGTGAGTGTGTGTGTGTGTGAGTGTGTGTGTGTGTGTGAGTGTGTGTGTGTGTGTGTGTGCGTGTGTTTATATGTATATTTATGCATATATGTAGTTATGACACACACGAGCGCGCGCGCGCGCACATCTTGGAAGCTCGGTGTCTTGTGACCCATTTTCAAATGTTTCTTAGAAAATGACTGCAAAAGGGACTTAAGAATCTTTTTTCTCATTCCTCTGCTCCCTGCTATTCCTCCACGGTTATAATCACTGTTGTGATCAGCGGGGTTATAAATACATACATGGATTTCATAAATGTGGCCCAGTCTGTTTAACCTATTTACAATAGTTTCATCGGATCATCATAACTAAATGTTTACCGTGCTGACCGGTCTGGTTCTAGGAGTTCCAGCTTCCGTGGAACCAGAGTCAAACACAGCCCTCCTCCACCGGGTCAGCGGTCCTCGTCAATGGGACCGTGCATTTCCGCAAACAGGTAGTGCGCAAAGTGGCCTCCGGTTCACCGCAACTATAGGTACGGTTGCCAAGTCTTGTGTGCTAATTATTAATCTAAATTTTTTGCGTACGTGATTGATTTACTTCCAGATATATTAGGCCACCCAGACCAATGAATCTTCAAGAAAATACATTATTCATGACTGTAAAGTAGACCTGGCGAATTTCAAGATTGGAAGCATTTTTGCACAAAGTTAGGCCTTACATATCAAGAACCCGAGGGAAAAAAAAACAGGATTTACTCTAAACAGTTTTTTTTCAGCTGGTTTCCCCGTTGCCAAAATCAGTATTTTTCAGTACCAAACATCCAAATAATATCTTTGAGTATCAAAATCTTTGCTGCCAAATAATGGTAATATGACGTTGCAAAATCCCAATTGGAAACTCTGCTTGTAATATTTTGACGAACCCTATGACGTGATCTCCATAGCTCCAGACTTCCAATCACTATCCAGTCAGAGGGCGGGCAGTAAACTCATCTCCATTTCCATTGGCTGAGTGAAACCGTCAGGCCCATCGTAAAACGCGCGACTTGATAAAAGGGGGTTGTGCATTGTAACAGTCGTTAGAGTGCCCTTCACTGTTCAGGAAACTTGTTACTGTTCACAGAAACATATATTGAGGAACAAGGTATTTAGGTGACGTACTTAGTTTTATATACGTTTATTCGTGTCTCAACTCACTGTTTACATTTATTAGCTGTCGAATCCAGTAGTATGTACATGGAAACTCCACAGGGAAATTAAAGTTTCTGAAATGACATGAGTCATAGTATTAAGTATCCATAGAGAACTGGAACCTCATTAGTAGTCCGTTACCTATTAGGAAGTTCTTGTTGAAATATCATTATTCATTTTGTATAAACTTAAAATTGTAATTATTCACTAATCAGATCTCAATCGGACTTTTTTGCAATAAATTCTCTCCGGTCATTTTCATCATTATCATTATTATCATTGTCATCATCATCATTATAACCATCCTCATTATCAGTATCATCATTTTTCTTATCATTATCATCGTCATCAGCATCATTATCATCCTTAGCATTATCATTATCATCACTATCATGACCATCATTATTTTGATATTGATATTACTACAATTATTATTATGACCTTAATGATTTTGCCAATGATATCATTATGATTACATTATCATTATTATTGTCATTATCAGTAGAAGTAGTAGTAGTATTTGTATCGTCACCATCATCACCATATAAACTAAGAATGGTTAAAGCACAAGTAAACATTGCGTAATCTACTTTTTTATAATAATTTCAGAAAGACTTTGCCAAGGAAGTAATAACAGGGTCAGTAGTATCAACATTAATGAAGCGGAAGTGGGCTGATCAGTAAAAAAATAATTGTCAACTGGACAGATGAAATATTGAACTCTCAATGAGTGATGTTTTGAATGTAGTCTGAGTCTCTTTGGGATTAAAAAAAATCAAATCAAGGTGAAAGCCAATGAGACTGTAAAACAAGCATAATATAAGTGACATTACAGAAAAAATATAGATGAAATGAAAGCAGATGCAAAGAAGATTCCCACAAACCGAACACGCGCGATGCGACTAGAAACTCTCTTATCTGTGCTGGCCTTGCTGCTCGTCGCCCATGCTAGGGAGGAAGGTACGCCCATTTTGAAGCACGTGAGCCACATGACGGAGAAAGAACTCAATCAGCACGTGAGAAAGGTTCAGCTGACGCCTCCCGTGGGTACGTCGACATACCACCTGGCCCGCCTTGTGGCTGACGAGAGTCGGGCGACGAGCATGTTGAAGAATCTCGTAAACGTTATGTTCACCACTCTCGACGTGACCAATAGGTGATCTGCATATATTAACTGTTTTGCTTTTTATCTTCATGCAAAGGAATAATTAATAATTCTTTAAAAATGTATAAAATAATCCTTAGAGAGTAGGTTATATATATATAATAATTTCAGTTTACTTTCACAGGGAACTGAAATTTCGTGCAAACATAATAAGCATGATTAAACAGCAATCATTTCCAGGCGATGCGCTTCCACCGACGGGCGTCTGTCACGGCGTCATATTACACGATGAGATTGCATCGGTTACGGAATGTCAGAATGTTAAATCTACCGCTCTAGCAGGTCGCGTCATTACACGAATCGGTTTACGTCTGAGCAGATCAAAGTTTCTCGTGACACGGGCGTAGCCAGGGTTTTAAAAGGGGGAGGAGGGGGGATTTCAATGCTTTCAAAGAGAGAGGCTCTGTCATGCTTTTCTTGTGTGCCTAGCATGACTGATTTGTATGTATTAGTGTTACGCCACTGACTCTCATATGTCACTGGCAAACTGTTCAGCATCGAATGACGAATTAACATAGTAAATCATAAAGGCGCACATAACCCCATGTCCCTCTCCCCTCGACCTTTCTGACTACAGTACTGTCCAGTGATTTAAAATCGATTTTTAACTACTTCAATTCTAGAGTGCGGCATCCAGTTTATATATCATTTTAAAATTAATTGTTAAGCATGAAAGAGAAAAATATCAACATATCCCTTTTTTTGGGTTTTATCGAATATTGATATGCTCATCATGATGCAAGATAATATCTCTAGTACGTAATAACGTTCACTGAAAACGATCTTTTTGTTTACAGCACTTTAATTCCATTTATGTGTTTACTCCAGTATTCTTGTCCTTCCTAATATTCGCTTGAAAGCCTAACTTTCGGTCCTTCAGGTACCTGTCGTCTTGGGAGGAGCTCGAGGCCGCGGGCGTGGAGGCAGAAGGATTCGCGAGCCATCCCCTGCACGCCTACGCCCTCACCAAGCACGTGAGTCTGGGCTGGCCGCACGTGGAGGGTTCCTTACGTGCGCTCAGCCACCTTTCGAAAAACGTGGGTAAGTCAGAAGGTAATCCGCATGAGATTTTGATTTCCTTTGTTTACATCGTTTTGGAGTTTTTGTTAAGGCTGTTTGTTTTTTATTTGGCATGACTGTATAAACAGCACTAATGCAATTTCAGTTTTATCTCCATTA